CACGGCTCTTCACTTGCAGCACATCCCTCTTTGGTAGTGGGAAAGACTAAATCTGAAAAATGTCTCTTTGGAGCAAAAGAACAATCCAGTGGGTCCTCAGTAATGGCCTTCAAACTTCTGAAGACAACTGTCATGTTGTCAATTTTTTCCAGCATAAATTTTCCCCCTCACTGGGTCCAGAGCTCAGCAAAACTTTCCCACAAAAGGCCAGGTAATAAATATTTTAATGCTTGGAAGGCCCAGAAGTAAGATCGAAGACATGGTAAACAGCAAATATTCACAAAGGCCTTATTAATAAAATTCAACATAGGAGCACATTTGTTGCGTGAAGAATGAGTTCACAGGGTGTAGGGGATGACATTTGGTTCAAAGTCAGTATGTCTCCTCCCACCATCTTGATAGCCATCGAATGCCCTAAGAATGATTAACAGCTTGTTGGCTCTACGAAAGCAGGCAGCAGATTAGATGAGGCCCTCAGGTCATGGTGTAGTGCCCCAGCCCTGGTCTGTTCTGGTTGGCCACCATCTCCTGTGCCCTCCTTGCTCACCCGATCCATACTGTTTCTCCTTCAGGCATTTAGTATGTGCCGGTGTGTTTTGTGCAAACAAACTGCTGGTGTGTCTAACTCTCAGATCCTTCCTTCTCTCCATAGTCCTTGCTCTGGGAAGCTATAGCATGGGCAAAGGGGAGAGGATAGAAAGACACTGACCAAAGGTGGAAGGTGCTTGAGGAAGGGGAGGGATAGTAATGGAATGCCCACATCTTGGAGTTAGTGCATTTTTCAGCCAAGCAACAGGTGCAGTTTTATTTTGAGCAGGACACGGAAGACCCTTTTCTCACTCTATGGACAAAGTCAGGTTCCTGCAGATAGTGTGAGAAGAAATGGGGTGGGCAGATGACGTCTGGTGGCCAGCTTCTATAATACAATCTGTGACCTTTGAGGAACAGCCCACTCTGCTCCTTCCACCATGACCAGAGGCAATACGATTTTTTAATTTAAGCATTTACCGGAGCCTTGAAGCCCTGCAACTCCTCTTTTTGAAGTAGTCTTGGCTGTTTTAAAGCAAGAAAGAGAAAAGGGAAGGGGCATGGTGTCGAGGTCAAGGGTGTGGAGTGTGCTCTGTTTCAGTTCCAATACGAGGAGAGGAAACTTGAGCAGGCTTTGACGTGGTGTGTGTCTGCTCTCAACTCGGTGGCAGGAGGTGGCTGAGGAATCTTGCATGTACTCCAACCCTGTAAAGTGTGTCTCTCCAGCTCCACTTTGATTTGTGCTTTTGTTTTTAGCAGATTAAAAAATCAGAGTTTAGAGCTTCACAGACCTAGGTCTGCTCTGGGGGACACATCTCCACTCTCTGGGTCTCCATCTCCATACCCGTCAAGTCAGGATGGGCCTGGGACAGCTCACTGTGTTCTGGTCCTTGTGTAGGCCGGGGATGATGGTCTGAGATGGACAGCTTCCATTGCTGAAAAGCTAAGCGGGGAGCTGCGACCCACACACCATGTTGCACTTAAAGAAAACCAATGTTCCACAGCTACAGGATTCACATCCAACTCCAGGTGCTGTGATGTCAGGGCACAGACTTTCTTGAAGGGTCTAGAGTCCTTCCAGGATGCGATGACACTGTCCCCCAGGTGAAGAGCGGAGCCAGTCCACTATGTCACTTGCTCTCCTCTAGACATGTGGGGTTTGAGGCCTGAGCTGCTGGCAGCATGGGAGAGGCTCTAGTTATTTCTACCCCTTTCCCCGTGGGTCTTGAGGGCCGAATCTCACTCCAAAGTTCCAAAAACAACTCTGGCAGTTCAGCCCCTGAGGTATTGTAGAGCTGTCGCTTCCACGCACCGGGCGCTAGGCTGCTCCAAGCGCCCACGCAGGTGATTACAGAGTCGCTTTCTTGTGCCGGAACAGGCTCTTGTTCCTGGCGCCCTAAGTGATGGCTGCTTATGAGGGGGCTGGAAAAAGAGACTGAAACACTTCACAAGGAAGCAAGTTTTCACAGGGGGCATTTTGACTGCCACTCAAGTGATGAGGATGCCATTTGGGGTCCAATTATTGCCCTACCAAGTAGCTGTGGCATCGCGTGGTTACAGCGAGTGGACCTAGCTTCCTGGTAGAGATAATGCTGCTACCAAATCCGTCGTCTCGTCTCGCGAGGGAGATGAGTCAGAGATGTCACCTGCTGTTTAGTGTGGGTGACTCAGGGATTTGAGCTGTGGATCATCCCCCCTCCCTTCTTGGGCCCACAGTGCCCTCAGACAGCAGAAGTGAACAGGGATCAGGACCTCACCCTCGTCCCCTCCTCCCCTTTTGCCATGCGCTGGCACCTCTGCCCCCTCTCAGTCAGATTCTGCAAGAGCTGCATTGTCAACATCTAGCTATGTTTGCTCATTCAGTCTGCACCAGACACGCTGCTGAGTGGTTTCCAGGCATTACTATACTTGCCCAAGGAACTGGGGTGTGAGGAGCCTGGACTAAGCCTGGGATGCCCATGACTGGGCTCCGCTCTGCTGACCTGGTGACCCAACTGCCTCTTGCCCGCTTCCATGCCCCACAACACAGCCATCTCAGCAAAGTACCTTTTCTTTACTTGAACCATTGTCCTCCTGAGGATGCGCTCATTTTGCTTAACTGTGTGTGCTAATGTTCTTTGTCCAACCTTCCCACAACCTTAAAACTGGACATTGTGACTCTTGACACATACAGAAAGTACTTGGGGTCCTTTTTTTAAGATTAATTTATTTTTATTGGAAAGGCAGATTAACAGAGAGGAGATATAGAGAGAAAGATCTTCAGTCCACTGGTTCATTCCCCAACTGGCCACAATGACAAGAACTGAGCTGATCTGAAACCAGGAGCTTCTTCCAGGTCTCCCGTGTTAGTGCATGGCTCCAAGGCTTTGGGCCATCCTCTACTGCTTTCCCAGGCCACAAGCAGGGAGCTAGAAGGGAAGTGGAGCAACTGGAACACAAACTGGCCCCCACATGGGATTCCAGTGTGTGCAAGGCAGGGATTTAGTCACTGAGCCATTGTGCTGGGTCCGGACTTGGGGTTCTTAAGAAGGGCAGCTAAAAGGAATTGTGGCGAGCAAACAACCCATGTTGGGGCAGTGAGCTGGGTTGAAAGCACCCCTGGTGAGAAGCTAGAGATCCCTTTATCTTTGGTGAAAACGTGAAGGTGGGGGAGACATCTCCTTTTGAATTGTGGGACAGCTGACTTGAGTCATTTGCAGGCATAAATCCTCCTGATGTTTTGGGAGACCTGGGGGAGGGGAGCCACCTGCGCACTTGTTCAAAGCCAGCTGGTGTCACTGTGTCTCAATATCCTGGGAGCCCAAAGAAAGGCTTCGAGCGCGGGGGAAGGGGGGGGCAGCGTGGTGGCTCAATGGCTAAATCCTTGCCTTGAGTGCACCAGGATCCTGAATGGGCACCATTTCATGTCCCAGTTGCTCCAGTTCCCATCAGCTTATGACCAGTTTCCCTGCTTATGGCCTGGGAAAGCAGCAGAGGACAGCCCAAAGCCTTGGGATGCTGCACTCATGTTGGAGACCCAGAGGAAGCTCCTGGCTCCTGGCTTCCGATTGGCTCAGTTCCTGCCAATGCAGCCATTTGAGGAGTGAACCAGCAAACCAGCAGACAGAAGATTCTCTCTCTCTCTCATTCTCTCTCTCCTCTCTGTAAATCTGCTTTTCCAATAAAAAATAAATAAAATCTTTAAGGAAGGAAGAAAGGAAAGTATACAGGCCCCTGGGTCAGCACTGTGGCACAGCAAATTAAGCTGCCAAAGTGGACACTGACATCATGGCTACAGAGGCAGTGGTCCCCAGGAACATGTGGAAGAAACAAGCAAGAAGCATGCATGCTAGTCCAGTTATGTGGGATTGTGCCTCTCTTCTGGGGTGACTGAATCCTTTACTAAAGTGAGGCAGTGATCTGGAAAAGGAAGGATCATTTCTCAAACAGGAAGTGTGAGGGTTCATAGCAGCCAAAATGGCGGAGTTCTTTCCCTTGTGGTACCCAATTGGGTGCTTTCTGCATGCTCTCCTGCCTTGCCATGGGCTGATCTCGCTGTTGGCCAGGGCAGGGACCATTCTCTGGTACTCTCCTGCAGGCCAGGGTGGTAGAGTGGGGACACTTCCTGTGGCTTACCCCTGTGGGATAATGAGTGTGATCCTCTGGCATGCAAAGAACTAGGATGGACCCTTATTTATAGTGTCTGATTCCGCACGGCCGGCCTCAGCTGCTGAGTGCCTCTGGTTTGTCAGGCAAACTGTCAATAATTATCATTCCTCCCAGCTAAAGAAAGACCGACTCAGTGCTAGCCCTCGGGGACAGAGAAGCCATGGTTTCTGCCCTGAGTGGTGTCTCACCATGGGATAGGTGAGGGCAGAGGGTGGGGAGGAGGGGTGAAGGCAGTGACCCCTGGAACATGGCCCCACTTATGCCCTCTAGCCTGACACCAGCTCCTGCGGGTGCCCCAGCAGGTCTTATGCCACATCACTTGCTGTGGCCAAGTCAGAGCCAAGTGAAGGCATGCTCCCCTGTGCCTCCAAGTCCTGTGCCGCCTGTCGGCCCCAAATGCCATTTTAACACAGGAACTGCATCCCTTTCCTTCTTGTCAGCCAGGTCCAGCTCTGTTTCTGTTCTCCCTGGGTGCCATTCCCAATTCCCATGATTACTTCCACAGTACTTTCCATGTCGCATCCTTGAACCTCCTGTCACCTTTGGCCTGTAGTTGAGTTGCTCTGTGCCTCCCTCCCTCCCAGGACTAGACCAGAGCCATGGGAGATCAGGGACTGGGTTTGGTGGGTCGTGGGTTGTCTGGCCTTGGGCATGGTGCGTCGTCCATATTGTGGATTCCTCAGGAGGTACTAGATGGAAGGTTACAGGGTAATCATTCAAGGGCAGCAGGTTTTGTAAGATTTCCCTCTGTGTGTACAGACCTAAACACAAACTCATCCCTTTGAGCCAGTTCTCAGATGTCTGTGTTTTTCTTTCCCAACCAGTGCTTAGAAAGAGCCATGAAGTTTGCCTTTGAGGAGTTCCACCTCTGGTACCAGTTTGCCCTCTCATTGATGGCTGCAGGAAAAGTAAGTGGCCCTCGTGATGGATAGTCCCTTATGCCTGTGGCTATGTCTTTGGATTTCATGAAATGGTACAGTGCCATGTGGCAATCTAACCTCCTGTTGGTGACTCTCTTATGGCACTTTGGCAGAACTTTCTTAACAAGTCATTCAGTTTAATTATCTAAGGGGCTGAGACAGACACGTCACTAAGAAGAAAAATTCTGAAGCAGTTGCTGTTTTTTAGCCACTGTGATTTGTCTTGGCCTAATCTTAAGCTTGGTTTTCACACTGGCCATTCACTCATTTGTAAATATCAATGTGTTCCTAGAAGAGAAAATACTTTTATTATAGTTGACAATAAAATGTATTGGGTCATATATGACGTTGGTTGGAATTGTGGGCTGGGAACCCAAATAGATGTCTTATTTTTTAGGGCAACGGAAGCAACCGCTATTTTTTCTCATTTGTTCAATGGCTACACATGAAAAGGGCAATGTTAGGGCAATGCCCAGGGGCACCTCTACTTGTTTGATTCAATGACTTGGAAGTCCCACGCTCTGGTCATCTCTGTTCCTAGATGCCTGCTTGGTTGGGCTCATGGTTGGGAAACCTTACTCAAAAGGCACCTGCCCACTCACACCTCTGGGAAGGCACTAGCACTTGGTTCTGTGGGCAATTTTGAGTTTCACAGACATCCTCTCTTCTTGTCAAGTCTGCCCGAGCTGTGAAGGTGCTGAAAGAGTGCATCCGCCTAAAGCCGGACGATGCCACGATCCCGCTGCTCGCTGCCAAGCTGTGCATGGGTTCCCTGCACTGGGTGAGTCAGAGCAAATGCCCACCTCTGTAACACCAAGGTGTGGGGAGATAGTGATGGTGATCCATCAGCTCCACTGAGACCAGGCTGCTCCGGGCCCCTGACCATCTGCCCCTGGGCTCCTCAGGTCTTGCTCTCCCACCCCACACTTACTGGACTGTCAGCTTAAGCCTTGGCTGCTCTGCTTCTGATTCAGCTCCTTGCTAATATGCCTAGGAATATGGCAGAAGATAACCCAAATACTTAGGTCTCTGCCATCCAGCCACTTTTCTTTATTACCTTAGCCTGTCTAACCTCTATGTTTCTAAAACAAATGTATTTTCTTTAAAAAAAAATTTTATTTATTTGAAAGGCAGAAAGACAAAGTTCTGCCATGTATGACTCCAATCTCCAAATATCCACAATACCCAGGTTTGGGCCAAGCCAAAGCCATAACCAAGGTGGGTGTCCCAAGGAGAGTTAAGAGGCTCGGTCCTAACAAGTGGCCCTTGAGACCCAGATGTTCTTTTAAAGTTCACTCCTCAAAAATCCTTCCTGCTTTGGCAGGGAGCGGTCTCAGGAATTGATGCTAGAAATTCCTTGGGGATGGAGAGGGCTGTTGTTTTTAACTTGTCTTATTTTTCAGTTGGAAGAGGCTGAAAATTTTGCCAAAACTGTTGTGGATGCGGGAGAGAAGACGTCTGAGTTCAAAGCTAAAGGCTACTTAGCGCTGGGCCTGACGTACAGCCTGCAGGCCACTGACGGTGAGGGCAGCCTTGCCTCTGGGAGCCCCAAGTCTGCTGTGCCACACCATTCCCTTTCTGTCTTTGGACAGTGCAAATGCTGTGGCATTCAGGCCTGCTGCCCTCAGGGTCCTGGTAATGACCTCCTGTGCTGAGACCATTAGGAGGAGGCACGCTGCTGGGGCTTTGGGCAGCAAGCTGGCATGGGTGGGCATTGGCTTGATGTGCCAGAGGAGCAGAGCTCTGAGAGATGGATCTCTCAGCCCAGCCTTGTCCCATCCCAGCCTGGTTCTTGGACTGGGCTGTCCCATGTGAAGAGACATTAGATCATAGATTCTGTAGCAGAGTTAAAGGGCAGACACTACCAGAAAGCTCCCAAGCACCTTCTCAATTCATACATCTTCGTCTACTCATATGAACTGGGCAGCAGCTCCCCAAGTGTCTGGGTCCTCAGGTGCATGATTGGGACATTTTGCAAGTACTTAGAGCTTGGAGGAGAGAGCTTGCGCTCTTACTATTATTGTCGGAATGAATGATATATAGTACAAACATCAACAAGAAAGCTTTCTAAGACACATGTATAGCTGAATACCCTCACAGGAGCCCGGCCCTCGCTGGCCACCTCGGGAGCCCTCCAAGGGCTCCTCCCCATCGCTCCTCCCCTCTTCAGGAAAAGTTCAATGCGTACTTTCAGGGTGCTTCCTTCTTTTTCTTTTATTTATGGTCTTATAATTTTTTATAAATTGTGTCAGTCCCTCTTTTCTGGACCCTAAAATATCAAAAGCCCTGGGGAGTTGCACGTAGCGATTACTTTAAGGAAATGGATCTTTGGCTCATTTTCCATACTCCTGGCTTTGGATTTAGTAGACTTCCCATGAGGAGTGATTCTAATGTCACCCAGCTGTCCTTGCAAATTCTTAGCTCAGAATGTACCCTAATCTGTCCTGTACCTTTGGGAGAGTAGGTTGGCTCCATCAGACATCTTGTTGCCTATGTGGGCCACCTTGCAGTTCTCTTGTGCAGCGTGTTGTCCTGTGGTAAACCCAGGCAGCCTCAGGGGGCTGTCCATCCTGGCTCAGGCGAGGCCTCTTGTGGCACCAGCTGTAAACAGGTGGCTCCAGGATCTTTTTTCTGGGCCCTTTTCCTGCCTAGGAGGCTGACGTGCCCTACAGGGGCAGTGTTAGCTCACAGCCAAGGGGCCTCAGTTTGGAGGTGATTTTCCAATCCCAGTGTTGGGTTTGCCTGTTCCTTCATAAGTTCTTGCCAGAAGATCAATAAAGTTGGCCATTGCCCAGTGGAAATTGAACTGAAGCTTCCTAACATCCAGCAGGTGCCGTTGGCACAGGGTCATCACTTGTTGATCTGACTGGTGCTTGGGTCTCATCTACACCATTGTAGTAGAGCCCATCTTTTCCCCGGAGGGACACACCTACACTTGGAGGACAAACGGATGCCTCCTAGGATTCCCAAATGGTCTTTGAAAAGTGATCCCTATACACCTAGGGCTGCTTTCACTGTCCCCTTGGCATGGTTCCATTATTATGGCCACCAAGTGCAGGACTCTGCCTCTCTAGAGCAGGACTGGGAACAAAGTGGCTCAAAAATTGTTTTTAAGCCAGTTTGTTGCATGTATAATTTTTGTGACAGGTTACATGTTAAAAACTCCCTGGTCTCCCATGCCACTGACTAATTTTGAACCCTTTTCTTAGCTTCTCTGCGAGGGATGCAGGAGGTCCTCCAGAGAAAGGCGCTGCTTGCATTTCAGAGGTGAGTGGGAGTTTGTCTTTTCACTCGGCTGCACATCATGACACCAAAGTATGATAAGTATAAAAAGAAGAGATATTTATAAAGATTATGTAAACAGTGTGTTACCCCCTGGAGTCTTTTGTCTTGAGCACCAAGCATGCAGTGTCAAAACTTGCTGCGTCACCTGTTGCCGGGTAAATCTGTGCTGTTAATCTGCTTCTCACTGGGGCCTGTTTTACTCACCCCTGATAAAGTGATTCCAGCTTGAAGAAGATAGATATTTTGCATGTCTGAGAGATGATTTCTTGAGTAAAGACATCCGTCATCATTGAGCAAAGGGATTCTTCTCTTCTAGCTCTTAGTCTTTCTTTTCTTTTTTTTTTTTTAATACCAAGCTGTAAGTTTTTATATTAAGGAATGGAAAAGCCATATTTTAGAGTCAGAAGTTAGGGTAAGCCATAGAACCCCCTCCTTTGCACCATCACAGCATCTGCTTCTCTCTTGGGGAGCCTTTACAAACAGTGCTGTCACCTCCTTGTTCATTCGCACCTCACCCTATACCAGAGCGAGAGACAGGACAGGTGGTGACTGAGACACAGGAGCCAGAGAGGCTACCGGTCATGTAGATGGTACAGTCACGGTGTGACCACCATCTCCTGACTCTAACTCACCATGCTGCACTGCCCTAATTACATTCCTATTATGGGTACAATAAATTATTGAAATGAAATCGGTGCCCGAAAGGGCAGCTCTGGGACGTGAAATCTAGACTTGTTATTGATCCTGTCACCTTCCATGTATCTGAATTTCATTGATTTCTTGGAATCCTTTTGGAAACTTAGTTATTCAGGAATCTCATGAGGTCCCCTGGGTGCCTGATGTTTGTTGTTAGATTCCTTCCTCAGCACTGGGGTTGCCCATCACACTCACCATGCTGGCCCTGTGCCTTTTGTCGTGAAACCCTCCTTGTCCCCTGGCCCCAGCTGGTCTACAGTTTTCTCTCCCTTCTTTGTGTCTTCCAGCAGCCTTACCCACAGCTCTTTCATTTCTGTCAGTCTGGGTCTGGTGGATGACACAAAGCACCAGGCGACACCTGCACACAGACCTGTCTGTGTCTGGGCCCTTGTGGACGGTCCTCAGCCAGGAGCACAGAAAGCATATCCACTTCAAATCATTTCGGATTTTGAATTCTCCAGTCCCAGTTTGTAAAACCCACACAAGGATGCTGAAGAAAGCACACATTGCGTCTGCCTCGCTTTTCTCTGATCAGCACAGCCTGCTGGCTCTCTTGAAACAGTCCGATGGCGGTTGGCCCGAGCTGCCAGTTGTATTATGTAACAGCTTTTTTTTTTTTTTTGCCTAGGTCTCAATTCAAAGGGATTTTTCAAATATTAGAGCCTGCATGGGAATAAGGAGCAATAAAATCCCACTAACCTGATTATATTGTGCAAGACTCACCTAGACTATTTGTGTGAAAAAGAGAATGTTTTCCAAGGAATAAAACAACTTTGGTTCAAGCATACATTAACTAGAATTGTCCTAATGAACTGTAGTCTTAACAAAAACCTTTAAAGAAAAGAATTTTAGGTAAATAAGAATGATTTCAATTGCTTCTTAAATGTGCATGGCTATAACTGAAAACTACTTGAGTGAGAAATGTTTTTTCTACTATGCATTTTGAATATCCTCCCAACAATTCTGCTTACACTATAGTTTTGCATCTTGTTTTTTAATTTGAAAAGAGAATAATGTAACTCAAAAAGAGATGCAATTACAAATGCAACAAATGAAAATTAACACTCCCATTATGACTGGCGGCAAGATTCAGCACTCTTTTCTCTCTAGCGAACTCGAAGAGGTGGTTTTCGAAGCCATCCGAGTTCTGTGGCTGCATCTTATTATGAAAGTGCCGGCTGCTCTTATAGGCAGAAGCTTCTCCTAAGCAGCTGATCCAATCCCTTTGCACCGTCTGAAAGAATAGTAACGGAGAACAATGTCATATAGCAGTCATGTTTGTCGCTGTGGATGCAGTACACAGTTTCTGCCATCCTATCCCTCCTCGCTTGAGTTTGCTTTGGTTGTAGGGTCTGCTTTGTGCATGCCTGGCGGGGTGACAAACCATTCCAATTTGTTGGAAATCCAGCAGCTTCCCAGAAAGTGGACTATTCAGTGCTACAGCCAGGAAAATCCTGGGAAAACCAAGACGAGTTGGTGACCCTCTGGGTACAGCTTGTGGGAGGCTCTAGGGGACTGGATCTAACTAGAGGTGCACACTTCTCTGAGCTCATTCACTGACACCATGTCCACCCTATTCAGAACTAAGGAACCACAGGGAGACTTGAAAAACCAAGGAAGCAGGGTTATGTTGTACAAATACCAGGCCTTGGAATGACGCATGCTCCATTCTACTTCTGTCTCTCCTTCTTTTGCTATTTGGCCTTGAACAAAACACCAAATAGGAGATAAGAAAACATTGTAATTACTGTTACAAAATGCCTAGTGATCAAAAGAGACCAGCCTTCCCTTGGATCAATTCTACAGCAAGTGGAGCTTGAGTCCAGGAGAGCCTTGGGATGACCTTGAGCATGCTGGGCCCTAGCCAGGTGTTCTCACAGCCTCATTCCATGCCCTCCACCAGCAGCCCAGCATGCCTCTCTCTGGGCACTGCTGCTCCTGCATTGTGTGTCTCCCCTCATTTCCTCAAGGCTAGGGAAGTGTAGAATCATCTCCAGGCCCCCTGGAGGCTGGAATGGAACCTGCTGTTGTAGTAGGTACTAAATAATATGGGTGGATGGGCCCAGCACAGTGGCCTAGCAGCTAAAGTCCTCACCTTAAATGCACCGGGATCCCATATGGGTGCCGGTTCTAATCCCGGCAGCTCCACTTCCCATCCAACTCCCTGCTTTTAGCCTGGGAAAGCAGTCAAGGACAGCCCAAAGCCTTGAGACTCTGCACCCATGTGGGACACCTGGAAGAAGTTTCTGGATCCTGGCTTCGGATCGGCATAGCACTGGCCATTGCGCTCACTTGGGGAGTGAATCATCGGGTGGAAGATCTTTCTCTCTGTCTCTCCTCCTCTCTGGATATCTGACTTTCCAATAAAAATAAAATAAATCTTTAAAAAATATATGGGTGAATGGATAGGTGAGTAGATGGATGGGGGACATGTGGGGTGTTGGATGGCTGGGTGGCCTCCTCTTCATTGAAGAAAGCTTGACTTAATGGATGTGAAAGTGCTTTGACAAGGGAAGCATTTTGTGAACATTTCTGTGACATTCTCGAATCTCTGGGTTTCTCACAGCAGCCTGGCTGGGTGCCCACTGTGTCAGAATGGGATGTACACGCTTGTTTAGATTCATGTGCAGAGTTTGGCAGTCTCACCCCACACTGCTTGATGACTCCTGCCCATGGCCATACCAGAGGGCCTTTACCACAGGAAGTTTAGCTGCGGAAGTAGCCCCATGGGACTTAGGCACATCTTCTAGAGCCTCATAAGATGGGTTCTGAGCTCTTGTCCTGTTTTGCTTGGTGTGTTCCTTGTTTTCTTTTGTCTTATATAGACAAAAGTGGTCAGATGCATTTATTAACCAGATTATCAAAGTATGATTTTTAAAATGCTGAAGTTGGGATTCATTAGGAATTAGGCTATAATTGTTAGACAGGTTGGAACCCCTTCAGATCTTGCCCTAATGCATCCGAGAAGTATCCCAGCACTTCTGGATGTTTCTCTGAGTACAGTGGTTGAGAGTTCGTTTTTGCTGAGGTCAGGGCAAGGCCTTCAGACAGCATGCTCATTACCCCTGCCCACAGTCTGCCAGGCCATCACCAGCATTCTGTTTGGTTGGCCTTGTGTTGTGGTGACCATGATTTGATTTAGCTTCATTTGTGGACAACACTAATGGGGCTGAGCCAAGCAGAGCTCGAAGAATTGTTTAGGATTCTGGAAACCTGGCTCCATTATTTGATTTAAAAAGATGAGCTAAAATAAACAATTCCAAGTAATTCAAAATCTCTTCCTATTGGATTTTATATGCATGTCTCCTGAATAATGGGAAGAGACAGAAACCATGACATTCCAATCTCTTTACAAACACCAAAGAGAAAATTTCTTTGATGTACAAATTCATGGGAAACTAATATTTGTAAAATAATGAAAGCTGGAACATACTGAGTAGGGCTTCTAAAGAAATAAGATGCCTAAAGGGTCATACAGGCAAATATAGTCATCCCTGTGGATCTGCAGGGGCATTGATGCCAAGACCACCCTCTTGTCACAGCACCAAAATCCTCAGATGCCCAGGGCCCTTCCACAAGATGCTATGATGTTTGCATGTCACTTAAGCACATCCTCCCATCAGCTTTATAGCGTCTCTAGGTGACTTACAACATGTAACACCATGTAAATGCCATGTTAGATTTTGTTAAATAAAAATGTTAAGGAAAAAGTCTCCATGATTTCAGTATAGGCATAGTTTTTTTTTTTTTTTTAATATCTGTTACTTGAAAGATAGGTACAGAGACAAGGGGAGGAAAAGGTCTTCCATACACGATTTCACTTCCCCAAATGGTCTCAATGACCCAGGCTGGGCCAAGCAGAAACCAGGAGCAGGCACTCCATCCAGACTCCAGTGTAGGTACAGGGACCTAATTGCACGGGCCATCTTTCACTACTCTCCCATGCACATTTGCAGGGAGCTGGCCTGGAAGTAAAGCAGCTAGGACTCAGACTGGCACCTGGATCAGACGTCATCTTTGCAGATGGTAGCTTAATGCACCGTACCACAGTGCCATCTTCCAGACACAATTTTTTTGAAAAAAAAAATTTTTCCATCTATAGTTGATTGAATCCATGGATGTGGAACCCATGGATATGAAGTACCTTTAGGAGGACAGCCCCTGATGCTTAGGCTGGAGGGAACAAAGTCGCACAGATATGCTTGCAGGCCCCACCATCCCAGTTCCCACCTGCTAGTGGGGAGGGTCGAGGGTGGCCTCCACTGCCCCACTGTCCTGCCCAGGAACCACCAAGCTCACTCAGGCCATGCCCCCGCATGGTGGGCTTGGCATATTTTCTGAATGACAAACCCTAGAAGACCATTTCTCTTCCTTCCCCACAGCACAGAGGCAGTTTAACTGCAAGACCTTACTACTCCTGGAAGCCTTCCTTGGCATGTGTGCCACAGTTGAATCTGCAGTGATTCAGTGTTCTGCTGTCTTGGGTTTGTGTTCTGCTTGTGAAAGATGCTCCTGCCTTCCCAGAACGGTGACCAATGGCCATGATGCTGTGTATACTACCTGGGCCTCAGTGTCTGTAGTCTGCTCCGTAGTGCCTTTCAAAGAAAGCAAAACCCTGTTGTTCTCTTCCCGTCAGACTACTAAACTCAGAATTCTGTCTTGTACATATGCATGTTTTGAATGGCTCGGGCTGAAATTCAAACTGATGTGCACCTAAAGATGCGTGAGATGGTGTTTGCCACCAGGAGGGCGACAGTCTCATTCCGCCCAACTTCAGTGGTCAGTTCATAAAACTCAGCCTGTTGTCTGACCGCAAAGTGTCACACAGCACAGTTATGTGGTCAGATGAGCCAGCTGCATGGAATTTAACAGCTTCAAAAAACCGAACAGCTGTCTGTCTGTCCCGCCCCCACTCCCCACTCCCAACAGTCTGCTAAAACTGAGACCTCAATTTATAGGCGAAGCTTGAGCTTTCATTTTCCTATGGGATCTCAGAAATCCAGAAATTTGGATGAAGCAGCATGAAGGCCAAAGTGACTTAACCAAAGCAGCACATACGGCTGCACGGGCTCCTGCTGTGGCACCTGAACCCTACCTGCTGAGCCCTAGTGCAGTGACTCATGGCAAAGTCAGACCTCAGGGCCTGGGATTTCTTCCCCTGCAGCCCCACCCCAAAGCCTACAGGCTGCAGGGCTGTCATTCTGGGTGCTAGACAGGACTCAGAACCACATGGCTGCTGTGGTAAGAGGAACACAGTCTCCATTCATTAGCGAATGGGGAGAGAGGAGAAATGAAGCATGCGTGGGCTGTATATGAAGGTGAAGATAGGGAAAGTCCAAGGGGCCTGTCTCCTGTACTAACACCCACCCGTGCCTTTTCAGGGCCCACAGCCTGTCACCGACAGATCACCAAGCCGCCTTCTATCTGGCTCTGCAACTCGCCATCTCCCGGCAGGTCAGTTCCTCCTCCAGCGTCGGCAAACATGGCCCATGCACCATCTCGCCACACCTGCTCCTGCTCCCCACGATGGAGGAGCCCTCGCCCGAGGCTTGCTCAGAGCCTGTGACCATCCTCAGAGGATGCTGACCCTTCTTAGCTAGCATCCTGGGCATGCTGAGCATGCACCATGGAGACACACTGGTTCTAGCCTCTGCCCTTCGAGCTGCAGTCCATGACTCTGGTGGCCCCAACCTGGGGTCAGCTGGCAGCACGGGGCACAGGGTGTGGTGTAGATCCTCAGCCCAAGAGTTATCCTCCAATCTTTGTCCCTTGCTAACGGGAGTGGGGACACGTTGCTGAGCTGCATGGTGGGCATGTAGTCACTGGTTGGGATATCAGTGAGTGACAGGAAAGTGACAGAAGGTACAGGCAGAAGAAATGAGGTCCTTTAAAGTCAACAGAGTATAGGAACAAAACTGCCTGCTACAGCCATGGGAAGTAGAGGAGTTCAAGGAACTCTCCTTGACCATTCTCAACCACTCTTGTCCCCTCCCAGCTGTTTTGGAAACTGGCCACTTGCCTGCCTACCAGGTGCAAGACACTGGTGGGAACCCCAGCACAATCCTGAATGCTGACCTAGAGGGTGACTCAAAGGCCAGCTTCCCAGACATACCATTCCCCTGGCAGCACTGGACTGCAGCTGCTAGCACTGGGCTTCCCAGGTGCTAGGAGTGGTGGGAGAAAGTGGCTCCTGTTGGCAGCCTGGGCACTAAAGTAGCTAAGGTCCTCCCGCATCAACTGCATGGCATGGCCCACAGCTGGGCTGCTCAGGAGCTGCAGCTGCAATAGACGTGCACTGCTGATTGGGCATCTGGGCCCCCATTTCTGGAGCTTTGCTCAAACTCCTCCCTGAAGCCCGCCTCTGGGGACAGCCTGACATCCCCCTTGTCTTCCCCAGCTCTCATGCAGACCCTGCCCTGTTCACAGGGTTCCACACAGACAGGAAACCATCTTTTCCCTCATCATCACTTTGCCCTGGTGCTCGGAATGCTGCCTGACATGTACTCAGCCCTAGGTGACATGCACTGAATGAGGGAACTGGCTTTGCAGGCCATCAAGCCAGCTGTCCCTTAAGATGGTGTTCTGAACCCTATGTTAGTGCCCCTGATTGCTGTGGCATCCCTTATCAGTCAACTCCATGGCTGTAGCCTGTCTTCAGACCGTCTCTAACACCATGCAGTTTGTCTCCCTGAGGAGGGGAGAGGCAGGTGGAGCCTGGTGGGGTGACCATGACTCTGCGGCAGGGAACAACAGAGCTCTGAGCAGGACCTCCAGGCTGACCGGGACAGAGGCTGACACCTGGAGACACAGGGAGTCACGTTCAGCAGCCTCTGACCTGATTCCAGTCATCCACCCCCATGCACTTAAGCTTCCTCTGTGTAAACGAAGAGTGGGTCTGCATCAGGATCCTGAGGTTCAAAGGCGGATCCCTCCCTGCTGGGCCCACCCATAGGCAGCATTTATAACCTACATCCATCAAGTAGTGACACACTGGGAAGAAAACTAACAGGAAAGAGACAGAGAAGCACTCGCTTTCTACAAAGGTTGCTGAGGCTTTGCAGAGAAGCCCGAGACTTCCCCAGCAGTCCGTTGTCCAGGGCTGCAGGTGGAGGTGAGACAGGATAGAGTGAAACTTCTCATCACCACCCCTGTTTGAAAATCCAGCTTGAGGTTCTCTCTCCCTGATCACTGCCAGCCCTGCACAGAACCTGGGGCATTCACGTATCCTGCTATTATCCCCTCTGCACGGGTGATTTTGTATAGTCCTGCCTTTAAGGGTCCTACCTGAACTTGGAGACATCTGTTTTGAATGTGACTTTGCAATTTGTCTTGTGAATTAAACTGATTTTTTTGGGGGGGTCATAATTTGGACATGTGGGTTTGTTTGTTATTTTACTATTTTATTTTTTGGATGTCTAGTAACAGACCCAGGGAAAAGGAGCCAGGAAAGAATCCCAGGATTCTGATGGTTTGGGGAGCCCTTTGGAAGGCCTTATGACTTAGGAAGCACTTTCATTTCAGTAATGCTTTCAAAAAGGAAGATAAGTTCAACTAAGGCAACTTCTTTCCTCCCAAAACCCCTGGCAGGTTCTGTGTGTCTCCATACACAGTGAGATCATCCCGGGCATAATAAAAAGTGGATCTGGTTCTGGAAAAGATGAGAAAATGTTTATTTAGGGGAGAAATCAAAGGTTTGGTATTGGCAGTTCTATAGAGAAAGGGGGTCTCTTCTGTCACCTCATCATTCAGAGGCTCGCCAGAGCAGGGCGTTGGCCTCCATGTTGGTGATTACCATCCCAGGACTGTCCTAACAACTTGGCTTGAAATGAGAATGTGGCACGATGTGAAGCAGCTCTTGGTGTTTAGAGTCTGATGTCAAAATGATAACTTCTCTGTTGTGCTGGTGTTGTGTCTGTGTGTTGTGTCGTGTTTTAAAATTCTCTTTGCTTTTTTTCTAACCCAGATCCCAGAGGCCTTGGGGTACGTGCGCCAAGCTCTTCAACTTCAAGGTGATGATGCTAACTCATTGCACCTGCTCGCCCTCCTGCTGTCCGCACAGAAGCACTACCACGATGCCCTGAACATCATCGACATGGCCCTGAGCGAGTATCCAGAAAATTTTATGTGAGTGTCCCTGGGCTTTTGTTGTCCATAATTCAGGAGTCAGTGAATTTACTTCTCCCACCCTCTCTCCTCACCAACATCATTTAAATCCCTCATGAAAACCGTGGAAGTAAATAATAGAAAATCCTTTTTGTTTTTTTTTTCCTGATATTTACAAACAGACATACTCTGTTGGGGCATCTTTACTGAATTAAAATACTCCTCCACTCTTTCCCAGTGGGAGCCCATGGAGCGCACGAGATGATTCTAGATGAATTGTAGATGAATGTTTTTATTTTAGTCATGTAAAAAGCAATGCAGATCAACCATGCATATGATGAGGTATTGCTCAGAGGAGACTTAAAAAAATTTTAAATGACTTAATTGCATGTCAATTTAAAGAAAAACACAAACTTAAATACCCCTGTAGTTGTAGATGACAAAAGTTCGGTAAACAAAGCCAGTGACGGGAAGCTAGAGAACATTGCTCTGTAGCTTGTGGTCAGTGTTGCCAAGGCTTCCACAGGCTCTGGCTGATTGTTCTGTTTTAGGCAACTTTCATCAAGACACTGGACTGCTTGGTGCCTTAGTTTAATTCTCCAGGAAATGCAATTCCTTAAACTAATCAATATTTGCATCTAGCATTGCTATTATCTTTACAAATTGTTATATGCTTGACGTATCTACTCTTTATCATATTTTCCTCTGAGTCACATTTTGGTCAAATCCATTCATCTGGAATCCAGGGAGCCCAGCTCTGCTGTGAGGCTTGTTTGAGAAGTATATTGTCTTGGGGGCTTACTGGGCTACCATTTAGTCTTCGGCGGTAACAGCATAGGAACCAGGACAGAATGGCCAGGAATAGTAAGCACTCCTGCAGTTTGGAAGGTTCAAGTTGTCTGCATCGTTGCAGGGTCAGTAGTGGGGCAGGGGATGGGAGAAGGAACACAGAGGGTGGCCTGTGGCAGCCTCCCAGGGCATCAGCCATGGCCCTCTTTCTCTGCCTTGTCACCTCACCGTGTTTGTGGTTAGCGCTTTCCATCAGCTCTCCTTGGGAAGTTGGTTCACACATTCTCATGACAGACACTTTGGCTTCAAGGGAGAAGGGCAGGTGCTTCTGGGGATCCAGGAATGCCCAGCCTTGGCTTTAGCTGTTTACATGGAGTCAATTAGAGAGCTTTGCCACAGTGCTTTCCTCCTCGCGGATCGCCAACCTCCCGTTGGCACACTGACTGTACTTTTGGATTTCATCCCAATCTCCTCAGCTCTTGGGACCTCAGAGTGCTTAAAACAGTTAAAGATTTGGGGTTGCTTTGGTTTTAACCTCTCAATACACAGCCTGATGCAGTTGAATACAGTTCCTCTCGTCAATATTTATAAAGTGCTCTTCCCTGCTTCCCACCACTACACACACACACAGGCTCACTGAAGGAATAAAGGAATAGCCACGCAGAAGTGAGGACTGGCTGCAGGGAGATTGGAGGACCTTGGAGCCGCTTAGTTCATGTCAAGGCATAAGCTCCAAGCAGCCAAGTGACAGATCTGAGAGCTGTCCTGGGACTTACTTGCTTTTCAGATATTTGTATTTCTTCCTTTTTGGTGAGAAACTCCTTCCAAAGGATTTTGTATTAAAAATAGGGCCAACATATGGTTCCCTTCGCCCCATATTTTCTTACCTTTCTACCTGAGCCCAAACAAGAGGAAGTGGGCACCTGCAAGGAACTGCAGAGTTGTGTCATCTGTGACAAACTTGTCTCCCACATGCCCCCTAAGACCCTAACAAGCCTCTAGTTTGGTGTTTTCCCCTCTCCCAGCCATACCTACCATGCACGAGTCTGTATGGATGTTGCATTGGGACTCACTAACAAGAGGCAAAAGCCCTTCGCCAGTGGGGGCCACCCTGCCCATCCTGTTGAGCAGTTACCAGACAGACCGCTGGCGGTCCTCCCGAAGTGGCTGTATCGCCAGCATTTCTCGTCCTGCTGGCACCGTGGGTGCGGGCCTGCAGGTGCTCTCACATAGCCTGCCAGAGAGCGGAAAGTCGCTCCTCAGCTATCTTGTCACTCTGAACAAAATTTGTAAGGAGCTCTTCCTGACTACATGGATCCGGATCCTGTCTTCAGGGAACTCCAAAATTAAACTCACTACTCCGGAGAGACAGCCGCTTTCCTGAGGTGACCCAGAGGTAGTTCTGCCTGGGAGGGGAAGGTATGGGAGGGGGCTTTCACAGCACAGAAGAGTATGGCCATGGACTCAGAGCTGGTATCAGTCTCTGTGACCTTGAGGAAGCTGCCAGCTAACCTCTGAATTTCCTTTGCTCATTTGCAAACTATGAATTATAAAATATCTGTCTCGGAGGGTGGTTGTAAGAACTGATTCAGCTCACACACTCTAAGACATTTATTCACAGTAACCACTCCATAATTGTGGGAATTCATATTGCTATAACAAATGCATGATATTCTACCATACATTAAAATCATTGTTTTTAAATATTGACTAAAAGCAAGAGAATATTTATTAGGTACATTTAAAACAGGGAGTTGGCCTTCACACTAGCAGCTAACACACCCACTTCCCACGTTAGAGAACACGGGTTCGATTTCGAGCTCCAGCGCCGCCCTCCGGCTAATGCAGACCTTCTGGAGGCAGAAGTGACGGCCATGAGGGAAACCTGGATGCCTTCCTGGTGCCCAGCATCGGCTCCTGTCCCAGCCCAGCCGTAGTGGGAGTTTGGAGAGTGAACCAGTGGATGAAGGCACACTCATATTCCCTCCCTTCTCTCTTTCTGTCTCTCTGCCTCAGAAATTTCTAAAAATTCTATAATAATGTGACAAGGGTATATTTGCTTCTTGGCTTAAGAAAAAATTAACATTGCCTGTAGACTTTTTTGTGTGTGACTGCTGCACATCTGGTCATCCTTCCCTGAACGCGATGCAACAGTCCTGGCCAGTCTCAGGCCACTCACGTAAATATTCAAGTCAGTTTGTCAAACTCCATCAAAAAATAAAAATCTTGTAAGATTTTGGCTGGAATTATGTTTAATGTAATACCTTAATTGAGAAGAATAAGAGCATTGTACATTGACGACTGGAATTTCTAATGTATCTCTGACTGCAAGGATTAGGGTTTTAAAAATATTTTCATGAAATTTTATAATTTCTATCATAAAGACTTTTGGTTTTTTTCTGCATTTATTTATGTGTTTATATTATTTAAAATGTCTTGTTAAGTATTTAATTTTATTGATTTTTATATATTGAAAGTATATTAAATGATGTGCATGCTTTTATATGCAATGCATTAAAGAATTTTGAACAAATAGTGTTGAACTACCTGCTTACTGTTCGTTAGTCTATAGAAAGGCACTGATTTTGTACATTCTCCTTGACTCAGCCAAATTCTTACTAAGTCTGATAATTTATGCATCAGTTAGTAGAATTTTTATGCCAACAATGACAGTTTTCTGGAATAACTAAGGTGAAGGCTATTTAAAAATTATTCCTCCAACTTTTTAGAACTTGCTTAATTGTACTATAAGAAAAGTGCTTGGGAAATGAAATTAAAAGATTGGTTTACTTCGATGCATACATTTTTTTCAAATTTATGCGTAATTTCTTCCTGATACACATTTTTGGGACCGGTAGTCTGGTTGAGCAAAATCACTCTAGTGTTTCACCATTAAGAATTGTGTCTGTTACAGGCTTGTTTGTAGATGCAGTTTGAGATGCTAAGGAGCCTTCCTTTCACCTAGTTAGCTAAGGGTTGTTTTTAATCAATCATGAATCCACTAGATGCTTTTTGTGTATCTGACAAGATGATTATATGATTTTATTCCTCTAGTCTGTGAATGTTTTATTATTTGTTATATTTTCTAAGCATTTTATTTATTCATCTCTTTGAAAGAGAGAAAGAACTCTCATTGCTGATTCATTCCCCACAATGTCAGTCCAGATCTCCTCCACCAGTGTCAGGAAGCAAATGACAGGCACCATCACCACTGCCTCCCAGGGTCTGCATTAGCACAGAGCTGGAGTCAGGAAGCAGAGGCAAGTATCAAACCCAGGTACCCGAACATGGGAGCCGGGCTTCTGACCTAGAGCTGTGACCCTAGAATGTCACATCCAAACTCTGTTTCCGGTCCCAGTTTCTTTGCTTCTGATACATCTGCTGATGGGACTGGGAAGACAGCAGATGGAACATGGCCCCTGCCACCTGTGTGGGAGGCCTGCTTGGGCTTTAACCTGGCCCAGCCCTGGAGGACGGAGCTAGTGAATGGAAGAGCTGCTCCCCCGCCGTGCCCACCCCCGTGCCCACCCCTCGCCACCACCACACCCTCTTCAAATAAATAACTAAATCCTTAAAAAAAGTGTTGTAGTCATTAGGCCAAATGCACACTACCATTTGATATTTTAAAATATTAAACCAACCTTAGAATAAGCTCAACTGCTTTGTGATAAATTTGCTTTAATGTGGATCTACTAATTTTGAAAAAGGACTTTACTTTTATGTTCACGTGTGAAAGAGGTCTGCAATTTTACTTTCTCTTTATATTCTTATCAGATCTTGGCATCAAGGTTAGACTTACTTCTAAAGTAATTTGAAATGATTCTTTCTTTGCACGTTATGAGATCCTTAATGTAACAGTGGAATCATTCCTAGAATATTAAGCTTTAGTGGACAATAAAACCATGTAGGGCTAGTATTTTGCCTTTTGAAAGAGTTCTAAAGCTTTTTAAAAAATTATTGTAGAACATGAAAATTTTCTACCTCTCGTTTTATTAAGCTATACATGTATATATAAGCTGTAAAATATGTTTTAATAACAGATCTATTTGTTTTCTCTTAATTTTAAATTTTACTGACATAAAATTATCATAAAGTATTTTATTTTTTATCACCCAGCATCTACTGTTAAGTCTTTTTCATTCCTAATATCATTTAATGTGCCTTTTCTTTTTTTTGATCAGTCTTGACATGTGTTGAACTGAGCTTTTACCAAAGAACCAGTTGCTTTTTTT